CACACACCTGAGGGGTGACACACTCACGCGAGTGGTGTGACACACACACCTTACCTGAGGGGATAGAGCTGTGACACACACACACCTGAGGGGTGACACACTCACACATGAGTGATGACACACACACCTGAGGGCTGATAGACACACCTGAAGGATGGCACACACACTTGAGGGGCAACACACACACCCCTGAGGGATAGAGCTGTGAGACACACACACCTGAGAAGCAACACACACCTGAGTGGTAACACACACACCTGAGGGCTAACACACTCATACCTGAGGGGCTAACACACCTGAGTGGTAACACACACACCTGAGGGCTAACACACTCATACCTGAGGAGTAACACACCTGAGGAGATAGAGCTATGACTGACACACACACACCTGAGGGGTAACATACACCCCTGAGAGCTGATACACACACACACAAGGGCTAACACACACACCTGAGGGCTAACACACTCACACCTGAGGGCTAACACACACATACCTGAGGGCTAACACACTCACACCTGAGGGCTAACACACACATACCTGAGGGCTAACACACTCACACCTGAGGGCTAACACACACATACCTGAGGGCTAACACACTCATACCTGAGGAGTAACACACCTGAGGAGATAGAGCTGTGACTGACACACACACACCTGAGGGGTAACATACACCCCTGAGAGCTGATACACACACACACAAGGGCTAACACACACACCTGAGGGGCAACACACACCTGAGTGATAACACAAACACCTGAGGGCTAACACACTCATACCTGAGGGGGGATAGAGCTGTGACTGACACACACACACCTGAGGGGTAACATACACCCCTGAGAGCTAATACACACACCCCCAAGGGCTAACACACACACACCTGAGGGCTAACGCACACCTGAGGGCTAACACACACACCTGAGGGCTAACACACTCATACCTGAGGGGATAGAGCTGTGACACACACACACCTGAGGGGTGACACACTCACACATGAGTGATGACACACACACCTGAGGGCTGATAGACACACCTGAAGGGTGGCACACACACTTGAGGGGCAACACACACACCCCTGAGGGATAGAGCTGTGAGACACACACACCTGAGGAGCAACACACACCTGAGTGGTAACACACACACCTGAGGGCTAACACACTCATACCTGAGGAGTAACACACCTGAGGAGATAGAGCTATGACTGACACACACACACCTGAGGGGTAACATACACCCCTGAGAGCTGATGCACACACACCCAAGGGCTAACACACACACCTGAGAGCTAACACACACACCTGAGGGGTAGCAGACACACCTGAGGGGATAGAGCTGTGGCACACACACATCTGAGAGGCTTCTGGGGCCGTGGGGCTGCAAAATGAACCCCCCTGAGGGTTTTGCCTATGTCAGCCCCGTGTGGAACTGTGTGAGTTAGCAATGAAAAGCGCAGCTGCTCTTTCTAAGCTCAAGGCCAGGAAATTGCAAAAGGGCAACTGAAATGATTGAGGTGGGTGAGGACCCGAAGCATGGCACGTTCCCCATCTCAGCTGAGAGGGTGAGTGGGTTTAAGTGTCTCTTTAACAAAAAAAAAAGAAAGGCTGACGTATATTTTAATAATCTGTTTTTTAAAAAGCTCCTTTAATCACAAGTGATCTGACTGGCTCTGTTGGCTGAGTCTGAGAGTCTGAAACTTATTTTCACTTCTCTTATGGTTCTTCAAATGAAGAAGTTGATTTAATGGATGTGGAAGAGCCACACGAGCAGCTCTGAGTAAGCACAGGAATAGCACAACACCCTGAGCTACACCCAGACAGAAATGAGCACGTTTCAGTGTCTCAGAGGAGAGTGGAGCAGTGCAGGGACACCACAGTGACATCTTCATTGCCAACTGACAGTGGCACAGATGGATTGTGCCCTGCTGCCACTGAACAGGTTCGTGCTGGGGATTAGAGCAGAATCTGGAGGAAGAAATCTCCCAAAGCTGATTTAATTTGCTGGTTTTATTTCTGCATTTTCTTTCAGGAACAGCCAGTGCTTTAAAGACACTAACAAAGCCAGTGGACACTGGGAGAGATGTGATATTCTCCCCTAGGCTGTGTCCAAGGCCATGTTGTGCTCCAGGACAGGGTGAGATGATTCTCCTCAGCTTTCTGACTGGTTTATACAGGTGAAATGAACTGAGTCAGGGAACTTGCTTAGAAGTCCTCTGGATTTGCTCCAACAGTTCTGTAAGGACATCAAAGGACTCAGCAGCAGGAACTGCAGTGATAGGACAAGGGGGAATGGGTTCACACTGAAAGAAGAGAGGTTTAGATGGGATATTGGGAAGAAATTCCTCCCTCTGAGGGTGGTGAGGCACTGGCACAGAGAAGCTGTGGCTGCTCTATCCCTGGAAGTGCTCCAGACCTGGTTGGATGGGGCTTGGAGCAACCTGGGCTAGTGGGAGGTGTCCCTGCCCATGGCAGGGGGGGGAACAAGATGATTTTAAGGTCCCTTCCAACCCAAACCATTCCATGATTAATTCCCACAGCAAGTGAAAGGCTTTATTAAATGGGTTGAGCCTCCAAACCCTGTGTCTCTGCTCCCTGTGTGGGCTCAGAGGACAGGTCAGAGGTATAGCCTGTGTCCAGCCCATGTCCACAGGTCTTGGCTGCTGATCCCCCCCATGTCCTGTAACCACAACATCAGCTTCCAAGCAGGACACACAGCCTTGCACTGCTTATTCCCCGTGTTCCACTTCCACATCGCTGTCATGTTTGAGAGGGAACTCCTGCAGGGGTTTCTGCCTGGTGTAGCTTTTGCTTGGCATGGGGCACTCCTGGCTCAGGATTGCCTGGGTGGAGGAGAGGAGAGAGAAACCATGCTCTAGTTAACATGGTGATTCATTTGAACAGCTAACAGGAGCATTATCACCTTTGGAGGAAGCCAAAGCAGTCACAGGGAATACAAGCTGTGAGTTAAGGCAACAACCATAGCTCTAAACTTTCCTGCTTTTACCTGAGTGTTTTGTCCCTTTTTGAAGTCAGAATAGAGCCCAAAAGGGAAGACACAATCCCTGGCAAATTTACTCTCATCTCCCCCAGATCTCTGGGTTATCACTCCCCTGAAGTACCCTCAAACTCACCATCTTCTCCTCCCTGGCTGGAGGGCTGCGCAGGCACAGGCAGAGTGGGGCATAGGCAATGTTGACCACCCCAATGATGACCATCAGCCAGGGGAAGCCAATGGCTCGAACAATGGCCCCACCTAAGGAGGGACCTGCAAGTGAAAACACTCAAGAGAGGCTCAAATGCCACAGAGCAGGAGGTTTGTCCAATTCGGAGGGGCCTACAGTGACAGGGTTGCAGGCTCTGTGCTGTTTGCCTGTGACAAACATTGGGTGGAGGAAAGGGAGTGATAACCTGAGTGAGACACACACTGAGTGGTCACCCCATGAGTGTGAGCTCCTCCATACCAATGGCAAAGCCCATGCAGAAGGCCACATCAGCTATGGCGTAGACGGTGCCGTAGACAGAGGTGTGGCGAAGGTCCACAAGGTAAGCCATGATGGGCATCATGGAGGAGTCCACCATTCCTGCCCGGAGCAAGGAGGGGCTCAGCAGTCATAACCTGCTCCAGGGGCAGTGGGGAGAGCAGTCTTGGAGCAGCCTGACCCCCCCAGCTTACCTATGGCAAAGCCAAGGCCACCGTTGGGGCCGATCAGCCCGTAAATGTTTTGGGCCAGAGGTACCTTTGAGAGGAGAGAGAGGAGACATGAGGCCACAGGAGCTGTTTGAATGTGTGACATAGGTCGTAGAATCACAGAATGGTTTGGGTTGGAAGGCACCTTGAAGATCTTTTAGTCCCCCCCCTGCCATTGGCAGGCACACCTTCCACCAGCACAGGTTGCTCCAAGCCCTGTCCAACCTGGCCTGGACCACTCTCAGGGATAGACCAGCCACAGCTGCTCTAGGCAACCTGTGCCAGAGCCTCAGCACCTCACAGGGAGGAATTCCTTCTCAATATCCCATCTAACCCTGTCCTCTGGCACTGGGACTTGCCCTGGCGCTCCAGGCCCTTGTAGGGGCCTTGTAAATAGTCTCTCTCCATCTTTCCTGTAGGCTCTTTCAGGCACTGGCAGGCCACAATTAGGTCACCCTCAAAGCCTTTTTCAGGGTGAACAATCCTAATTCTCTTAACCTTAAGGTCTGTAAAACCTTTGTCAGATACACAGGTGCCACTACTAAACTTCTGCTGTTCCAGGGCTGTTCCCCCAGCTCAGGGCTGTTGTCACCCCGCTCAGGGCTGTTGTCCTCCCAGCTCAGGGCATCTGTCCCCCCAGCTCAGGGCATCTGTCCCCCAGCTCAGGGCTGCTGTCCCTGTGGACTCTCCTGCAGAGAGGCCTCAGATTCCCCCTGTGCTACTCACACAGAGCAGACTGACTCCCACCACAGCCATGCCAATCATGGAGCACAGCCACCTGCAAGGAGGCCGTGGTTAGGACAGGGCAGGTGTTGTCAGAGTGCACAGCACCCTGAACTCCTGCCGTTGCTGAAAGCACAGGGCTGGGCTGGAATCTCTGGTGTTCCACTCACCGACCCATCTTGTTTGCCAGGATCCCAAAGAGGTTGGTGCCAATGAGGTAGGATATGCTGGCTGGGAGGAATGCCATTCCTGAGAGAGGGAAAAGATAAAAAATGGTGTTATCCCTGAGAAAGTACAGGGGATTTGCCTAGATTTTCATTCCCTAACTGCCTCATTTGGAGGATATCATGGGCCAGGCCAGGCACATGGACATCCTCCTGTCATAGTCTCTTCCTCTTCCACCTTTCCCCCCTTGCCTTCTGCTTTCCACTTACTAAATAAAGAGGCATAAAAGAACTGTTTAAGTAAAAAGCTCAGGGATCATTATGGAGCTCAGAATTAAATATTTGCTCTGCCTGCTGCTTTACCAGTTGTTTATTTTTCATATACTCTCCTGCTGACTATAAATAAAGCTGAGCAGATCCATTTCCCTAAGACAACTTCCTTATTGAAACACACTGATTTGTGTTTAATTTTCTTTCCTCTCTCTAACAGCTATAGAACACAGCTAATCCTGCAGGTTTAGCCAAGCTTTTCTGGGTTGTTTTCCCAGAGTTATGGGAATGGGCAAACTGAAGGAGATGAGTAAAGTCTTTTGGGTTTGCAACAGCTTGTGAGATGGTGGTTTGCAGTTCAGCTGGGTCTACATCCAAACTGCTCTCAAATCTCAGGTACTTGATCATCTAGGGAATATATTTGGGATTTTCTTTGATGTCTGTTCACCCCTGGGTACTGCTCCCTCGCCTCAGACGTTCCCTGGTGACAGGGCCAGCCCTGAGTGCTTTTTCCCTGAGATCTGTCCCTTCTCCCTGCTGCCAGAATCCTTGGGTGCTGCTTCCCCTCGCCCATCGTTGCTCAATCTCCTGCTCACAGGGAGTATTATGGCTTTTATTGGATGGCTGTTCCTGCCACCCAGAGAATAACTCAATCAAGAGCCATCTCAGCCCTCCTGCTCCCAGCCTGCAATCCAATTTGGGATCTAAGTGCGCCCTGGGGCACCCCCTGGGTCATTCCTCTGCCGATTGGGTTTTGTAACTATTAGTTTGTATTTCTGTAGCAATCACAGGCAGTGTTATCACCACATCACATTTCCTAGGCAGCTGGTAATCAGCAGATCCCATCCTGCCCTGCCTGGGATGCTGGGAATGGCCTCATTTCACTCGGAGCTGCCTCTGCAGAGCCCATCTGGCTGCCACGGCTCCAGCCCAGCACGAGCCCATTATGTGCCCTGCAGAAGATGGGCTTCCACAGGCTTCCCAGACACCAAACAGCTTCTCCTCCCTCTTATTGCTCTTGTGGGGAGCCTGATTCTATACAATTTTTTTCAATAATAGAGCAGAGCATGTTGTGCAGCCACCACCGAGGACATTTCCAGCTGAAATTGGAGCGAGGCACAGCCTGGGATCATTCCCTCTGTGTGTGTGAGGGCCTGTGTTTCCTTCTCTTTTGGACTGACACAAAAGATGAGTCAATCCATCATGCAGGGCCCAAGCACGACCAGTCTGTAGTCCCTGGAGATGTTCTTGGTCCCTTGAGGTGTCCAAGGAATGACTAGATGTGGCACTGAGTGCTCTGGTCTGGTGATGGGTCACAGGTTGATGATCTTGGAGGGCTTTTCCCAACCTGAATGATTATGATTATAAGCTCTATCAGGCTGAGGAGTGGAGGCTGCGATACACAAGACCTACCAAGCTGCCACTGTGGGGAGCACATGGTTTGCATCATCCAGATGGGCAGGGTGGGCTCGAGCATGGCCACCCCCATGTTGGAGAAGCAGAGGGCTCCTGGTGGGCAGAAAAGGAAGAAATGCTCCATTTTAACCACTTTCACTGCTGTTTCAGCAGGCACAAGAGAGTCTTTTGCCAGGAGATGCAGGTGCACAGAGAGCACAGTGTGTGCCTCCAGCCACCTTTACCTGCAGCCACCAGGATGTAAGGGTCTTGCAGCAGGGTGGACACTGGGGTGGCTTTGGTGCTCTGTGGGGTGGCAAAAGGGGTTATGTGGGCTGAGGGCTGTGTGTGCACTCACCTGGTCCTTGGCACAGCCCTACATCCTGGGGAGCATTCCCACTTCCCTCACCCAGCACTGGCCAAGGCTGTACTCACCTCAGGGGAGATCTTGGAGGGCTGTAGGATGCACAGCTGCAGAGCTGGGAAGAAAACAGTGCTCTTAGCTTACTTCTGAAGGAAGCACCCTTCAATCCACCTCTCCCTCTGGCTTTCCCCTCAGCCTGACCCCTTCCATCCCTGAGAAACTGTGTTTGGGGATGTGGTTGGAGCAGGCAGGGCAGGAGGTGGCTCCCAGCCCCACTCCCATGGGGGGGAGCAGCAGAACTCCTGAAGTGGAGTGTGTTAGAAGGGTTTTGTCACCCCCTGAAGCAGTCAGAAGTGCAAATGCTCTTGTCGGGCTGCCAGCTGCCAGCTGGGGAGCCTCCACCAGAGCATGACAGAAATTGGATGTGGAAAAGAACAGAATTAGAAAAAGAAAGTTTGATCTGTATGGGGCCTGTGTTTCATTTTCCAAAGGCTCTTCCATGCTTCATTAGAGATATCTTGCCTTACATCGAGGCAAAGATGGTAACTGTGACTCTAATTTAATTAGCTTAATA